ATTGCGCTTTTCAATTTTGAACACTGTTCTTCTTAAGTCCAAGTCTAGTTTAAATATTTCCCCAAGCCGAGTTCGAATTTATGAGCGGTGCTTAAAGTGGAGATGAGAAAATTACCCATGTGGCAGGGGAAGTGTGCCCGTTCTCTCTCTCTCACTCTCTCAAGCCAACTTGGTACTTTTCTCTCTGCGATAATTCCCCCGGCGAATGAACTTTCAGGCCAAGTCCACTTTGGAGCTTGTCTTGGAAGACTTTATAGCAAAACCAGAAATCTCCCAAGCACAGCTTGCTCGAAAACCCAGGCCCAAAGACAAAATGGCGGCTGTTAAGATCGGCAAAGAAAACGAAAAAAGGCATAAAAAGCGACAAAAACAGAAAGACAGATAGACAGAAAAGTACGTAAATGAGAAAAAGGCACAGAGCGAGAGGAAAAAACACGTTTTCGGACTTAACGAGTTTTGTCGCAGTCGCTGTTCCAAAATCAACGTGCAACAGCAGCCAAAAAGTAAGAAAACCGAGAGAAACGCGTATAAGAACAACAAAAAACATTGTTATTGAGGTTGCCAAAGTGGGCTGCGCAAGACGTGGGGGGCGTGGCAGTTGCGGGGGCAGATGCTGGCGATATTATGTTGTTGTTTTTGTTGTTGTTGCTGTTAGCGGGTTCCTATGTTTAAGGTACATATATATGCTCGTGATGCTGCAGACCTGGAGGCAGAGGTAGCTTCTTCTTTATCATGTTCGCTGTTTTTTTTTCGACTTCTCCTTTTTCCAGTTTCGGTCCATGGCCCATTAGCTTTTGTTTTGGGGACCAGTTTCTCCAGGGCTTTTCGTCGATTCCGCGGCAAAGCCTTGTTTATGAGCCACTCGGGGCGGTCAGGAGTATATTGCGCGCCAAAAGCCTCGAAAATCGAAAATCGAAGCCAAGCCAAGCGCATCTTCAAGATGGGAGCTTATCATTAAACAAAAGCCGCTTAGGGACTTATTCTCCACCCCCTCCCCCCACGGAAACCCTCTTTTTGGCCAAGAGCTGAGCGAAGAACATATATCATCATGAGTTTATCATAAATTGCCTATATTTTATACCAAAAAATGTGTCAAATTTAATTTTAAATTTATGATGTTTAGCAAACACTGTTTTAATATAAGAAATCTAATCGGTATATATTGACTGAGGTCTTGGGCTCGTTCATATTCCTCTGAGATTTCATCACCTTTCAGTTGGCCAGCCCAGCTGGCAATTGCGAATTCGGCTCAAATGTTGACGATTATCATAATTTTTGTGTGTAGATGCTGATCGTGCAGCAACAGTCGACAACAAATTGTGGCAATTACATTGGCATTCCTTGGACTCACAGAGCAAAACACACAAACACCTGCTGTTTTGTGGGTTGGCTAATTAAATTGAAATTCATTTGCCGCAGCTGCCGATTCGCCAAAATCACTTCTTGTCGCCTTCGATTCCCCCTCCCCCATGGAACGAAGGAAATCCAACATTTGCCACTTCTCCCCGTCACAATAATTTGCAATTCTCCATGCTGCCAACCGCTAACGGCCAACATCCATCAGCTCATTATGGCCAGGCAAAAACTGGGCGCAGTGGGGGCGTGGCCGGCCGAAAATGGGAGGAAGGTCGCCTCCAGTCACCGCAGCTTGCCAATAGTTGATCTACATTAGACGGTTGCCCAATCGAGTTGGTTTCGCCTGGTTGATGCTAATAAAGCAGGTGGAGCTGCTGAAACAACAGAACTGAATTGTTGGCCAGGAATCGGGTGGTTGCAAGCTCAAGTTTTTGGTTGGGGGAGAACAATTGGCCTAGAACTACCAGCAAATAGTACATTAAGTTAAGTCCGTGAAACTGGCATTTATAAATTATTCTCCCTCCTGAAGGCTTATACCTTGGATTTTTGTATACAAACTTCAATTATATCCCAATCGTAATTGTTTCCTCATATTTGCCTGTTGTACAAAAATGCCGGGCACGTTCTTTGTACTTCTTTCAATTTGAAAACCACCTGCATTTGCAGGACTAAAACTGCTTGCAGCTGAAATTGGAGCTTAACAAAAACAAAAAGGGCAGATGGCTGCCTAAAATTTCAAAGATAAAACCCAACAAGTGATCGGATCGGAAAAGTAGGGGAGCGCATTTAGAACCTGGCTGCCAGCCAATTTATGTGCACAAATTAACAAGCGAAAAGCAGAAGACAGGGAGAGAAAAAACGGCAGCATAAAGGCAATCAAAAGGCTGCCACATAAATTTATGAGCTGCGTCAGAAGAAATCCCCGCTGAGGCCAAGAAACAGTCGATTACAAGCGGGGATGTCGGGGGATATCGGGGGAAATCGAGGATGCCGGGCACATCGGGCTTATGGACGCGTGCTGCTCCATAAAAGGGGTTTGCGAGGGGGCTCGGCGGGGGCATCCAATGGGGATTTCGAAAGGGGACATCCAGGGGCCAGTGAAGGAGGGATCAGCGCGCGCGCGCGCTCACAAAACCTGAAACCAGGAAAAGGAGTTAAAGCTGGGCAAACTGGTTCTTCCTCCGCGGGGGAAGCTTCGTCTTGGCCCCGCCGAAACAGAAACAGCTAAGAAACAACAAACAGCAAACGACCAGCAGAGCCAACATGTCCTGCTCCTTAGCTAAATTTAGCACGAGCTGGCCATCAAGCTCAGCTGGCTTGAAACGCTGTCACAAAACAAAAAAGAGAGAACAACAAACAAAGGGTTACAGCCAAGTTAAGAAAAGTTTTTTGGACTTTGTACGCAAGCTTGTTGCTTTGCGCGCCATTTTTTGAGCCACAGCGGGGCAGCAAACAGTAAACAACAGCCAAATGCAACTGCAGTTGGCCATCTAAGTGTGCAGTACATGTGTGGAGTTGCAAACACTTATGTGTATTGCTATGGCCCAAAGTTGGACATTGGCCACTGAGGGCACTCACTTCGCAGGAATAGAAGAGGTGATCATAAATCATAGGATGCGCATGGCTGAGCAGTACAAACAGTTGCGGAGTTGACCACAAAATATTAATAAATCCTAAAAATATAGAAGCTGAATAAAATGATGTGGGAAATACAGTAACGAAATTCAATCATGAATATAATAAATACTTGCTAGCTGCTAGTAACCCCCTTTAATCGGTCAGTGTCAATTTGTTCATTTGATTTAGTTCAGGCCTATTCCCGATAGAAAACCGGGCTCGAAGCCGTCTGGGCCTTGTTCGGCCAGTTGATGTCACCTTTTGGCCAGGCTCCACTCGATTCGGTTGCGATTGCATGAGTACTCGAACCCGAACTCGAACTCGTACTCTCATTGGATTTGTTTGCCCGCTTGGCTCTTGTTTGTTTGTTTGGCTTGGTTGCACCGTTTGTTTGTCTGCCTGTTTGTTTGTTTTGGTCCGCCTTTGGCGCGTGTGCAGCACGGCAACTGTACCAAGATCAACAGCATTTGCAGCATACATGTGTGTCTGCTGCAGTGTTGCAGTGTTGCAATGTGGCTGCTGTGCAGGCAGCCTAATTGACACGGCAGCAACATCGGCAGCATCGACATCAATTAATAATAGCCACCGTCTCCCTTTCTCCGCTTTTCTCTGGAGACATTGTCAGCGTCGCCAGTCGCGACAAGCAGCATAAATTGCAGTTGCCATTACCCAGCATCTGCAGCAGCAACTGCAGCAGCAGCAGCAACAGCGTCAACAAGTCAATGGCAAATTTATGTTTGACTCGTGCTCAAGTCAACCACTGCAGACTTGCTGCGAGTGAAAGATAAGTTGCAGTCAGAAAAAAGCTACATCGACTTTAGTTTACAGTGTGAAATCAAGTAATTTAAAAATACATTTTCGTAAGAAAAATTGTCCCAATTTTATAGATGTTATTTAACTGAAAATCCGAACTGGCTTCAAACTTTTTTCTAAGTGCGGTCAGCTATCGAGAGATTGTCCTGCCTGATTGTCTTCTTCTCCGCATCAACGATCCTCAGATGAAGGAATTTGATTTCATATCAAATTACACAAAAAAAAAACAGAGAAAGAGGATGGAGGGAATTCCTTAGGATTCATCCTTTGTTCTTCCTAATTCGATATTGGGGTGCCAATGGTTTTAGTGCCCGAACAAAAGGTATTGCCCCGAAGTATCCTTAACTTTTAGATAAGCCTATTAGTGGGGATTTCATTTTCTAAAGTCATTGTTAAATTAGAAATAAATCATTAAACTCAGTACTGCCACGATAAGATAATAAAGCAATAAAGTATTCAAACCCGCAAGCATTAGGATCTCTGGTTACTTTGAACTACAAAAGTGGCTTCCGAAATGATTTTATCCGATTAATAGATTTTAAAGAAAACAAAGGGTACCAAAGTGCTATACAAAATTTGTAAACAATTTTCATTGTGAAGTCTACAAAATATAATTTAAAAGAGCTAATGTATAAAATATGCAACCGAAAGATACATCCGATTGGAATGCCTTTCTCCGGATTAGAATGGCAGATCGGTGATCATCCCAGGTTTCCATCTCCACTCATTCTCTCGGCTAATTATGGGTCCAATCCAAGCTCAATGCGAGTCAATTAAGAGATTGTCGAACAGCTTGCTGGAAGCCGATGGTGATCCGTGATCGGGAGCTCGCCACGAGGATCCCCTCCTCGTTCTTGGCTCCTCTGCTCCCCTGCTCCTCCTTTCCAGCAATGACGATTGTTACCCGACCAGGCGATATATATCTATATACATACATATATATGCATGAATATATATATATATATATATATATATATATATATATATATATATGTATGTATGCACATATGGAGAAGGGAGTCCGGGGGAGCTACCACTTTTGGGTGCAGCTGGTCAACCGGTTTGGCGCGTGCTCCTCGTGCTCCCTTTCTCCAGTCGCCTTGTCTCAGAGCCTTTCCATCTGACTTGTATTTTGCACAAATGAATTAATTAAAGACGACGACGGGCCATTAAAGGAGCGGATTGGCGGGGTAAATAAAGATCAGCAGCTGCCTCTAGAAGTACTCCTTCTTCAGGCGAATGCGCTCATTCGATTTGCGTCGATTCGACACGCCATCCGACTCGTCCATCATGCTCTCCAGCATTCGTTCCTGGCGAGGATTCAGGGCTGCCAAATGGATGTCCCTTGTGGCGCGGAAGTTTCCGCAGTTGAACAAGTGCTCGTTCTCCAGGCGCACGTAGTTCCAAATGAAGCGTCTGCGGGCAGAAGGGCATACTACACTCAGCAAAACGGGGACGCTGTTTGAGCACCTTAATTAATTAGTTGGAAAACCACATTCAATTCGCTATTCGAATAGCTTATCCAAATTTCACATGGCAAAGCGTTGCATAAAATAGCAACAGAATTGAAAGGCCTTTCCATCTCTCACCTAGTAATCTCCAGGATACTGCAGATGGTCCTCATATTATAGGCAGTCATCAGGTTGTGGTACAGAATGGTGAACTCGACGGCCCAGAAGAGCCGCAGCACCAGATTCTCTACGATCACAAAGTAGTAGAAGGCCTGCGGATAGACCAGTTGCTTTCTGAGGAATATACGCTCACCGCTCATAATCCTGAAGAGCCCAAAGTCGCGAATAACATCCCACAAATAGCAGTAGACGGTGGCCACTACGCAGCTCGCGAGGAATAGCCAGGTGTAGGGGTTGCTGAACGTACTGGCATACTCACCTGCGGGCGAGGGTTTTAGGGGTTTCAGGATTTGTGGTCTCTACTAGTCAGGATTTCGATCCATTGGGGGAAAACGATTACCCTCCGAGTTTCTGCGCAGCGTCGCAAAGAGTACCACCAAAAACGTGGTTGAGTACTTTCCCGCATTGATCAGGTAGCTCACCGACTTGGAACCACTGTCCCTGAATCTTCGCAGGCACTGAGCAAATCGAAACCAGCCGGGCAGGCACATGGTAATCGGGACAATCACATCCGGCTCAAAGCAGTTGTTAACCCGTTCATATCGCAGCCAACTTATCGCATAGAACCTTAATGTGTAATAGTAATCTACAATGCAGGTCACCAGCGAGTTCAGCTGATCGCCCATCCAGAAGTCGGCAAATCCCACGTAGTGCAGTGGAGCGCTGATCACGCGACCCACCAGCTTGATGGTCCACCACCTGGCCGGCCAGTTCATTATTGGCAGAGGCACCACCAGCAGGCCAACCATGATCAGGATTAGGGCCAGTGGGAAGACGAACGGATCCGACACACCTATCAAGTCATTGTACAGGAACCCCAACATGGACAGGGCCCAAAGAATGCCGAAGGTGCAGGCGATTTCCAGAAATGTGGCCGGCTGCAGGTGACTTCTGGGGTCTATCTCAAAGATCAGGACATGGTTGACTCCGGCCTGCTGCCAGCCGGCAACGTTGGCGGCCATGTAGAAGTTGAAGATCACCCAGGTGAATGGACCGCGGTACAGGCTCATCAGACCCGGGGTATGATCCTCCAATGGAGCTCGTTTCCAGTCTAAGGAATTGGAATGGGAACAGGGCGTATCAAATTACCATGGGCGTATCATGTCCTACAAGCCAAAAATGACCAGTATATCACAATGTCATCACAATGGATACCCACTGACAAACTAATCAAGAGATTTAGATGGTAAGCTTCGATTTCTGGCATAAATCAAGTTGACTACTGGGCATTGATGGATGAGGCAAGCACTTTGATAACACTGGAAACAATGCATTCCCACAACAACCTACAGCTGATGGCGGTGACCACGAGCAGCATGATTAGCATGCCCAGAGCGATGCCCGCACGAAAGACCATCGATGGCGGAGTGGGCTCGCCCAATGGCGGAACTCTGAGCTTTTCCATGGCCAGCGAGCGATCCCCGTTCGCCAGGTGGGCCGTGTACAGATCCTCCACCTCGATGGTCATGCGCTGCAATAGACGTCCATCCGTAAAGGGGGCATCCACTACGTTCTCCGTAAACCACCTGCCTGCCGCACTGGAGCGCAAGTTTTTGTCGTACTTCTTGCAGATCTTGCGGAAGCCCGTCTCGTTCAGCGACTGGTAGTTCTGGATGAGCACCAGACTCAGATAGAACTCAGCATAGGCGTATCTCAGCTGGCGAGTGGTCATTATCTTCTTTTGGCTCCTTTCGGCTCGCTGTGACAGCGACGAGTCACTGCCTGTGTGTCCGGGTTCCCGGGAATAGGCGAGAAGCTGAAGCTTCAGGTGGCCATGTTTACGGCGGGCTTCGAGCAGTTTTTCCAGAAAGAAGTTGTTCACCCCGGTCAGTTCCGTTTGGCATTCGGTGAGGAAGGTCTCCTCAAAGGCCCTGTAATAGGCCTGAATTTCGTAGTCCGAGGAAGTAAGCGGCGAGGGGGCGTTTTCCACGCCCTGTTTGATCAGCTCCTTGAGATCCTTTTGGCGGCGTAATTAGGTTGGCTAGGTCCACATGCATATGTCGACAGTTATCCAGCTTACCCCATATCGCATATACTGCTGGCGCCACTCGATCGTCAGGTGGGACTCGAAGGTCTTGCCAAACTTCATCCTCGGCACGGGCGGGCTAGCCCACAAGGCGTGGCTGCTGTATGGCTAAAAACTAGCCGGATTCGTTAGGCTCTACAAATTCTGACATCTTTCTCCTGACAGTACTATGTCCAGCTAAACTAGCACTCCCAATCACTGCGATCGAAGTATACACCTTACCGCTTCCGTTCAATATGTTATTGGTATTGAATAACGTCTCCAGCGAGCAGTAGCATTTCAGCTTGAACTCCCATTTGTTTTTCAGATATATATGCACTTTCTGTTGAACCGGGAATTAATTACCCTAGAACCGTCTGTGTGTGCAGTGCAGCCAGCAGACCTTTGTGCAAACTCTGTTTCCGCTACTTCCTCGATTGTGAGTCACTTCCTCGGTCTCATTATGCGTTCGCACGCTGTTCCTCGTGGATCGCCTTCCTGTTCGTCAGAAAATCCCCAACCAGGTGAGTCAGTTACCCACAGATCACACTCTTGAAGAACTGAGTTCCCGTTCCCGTCAAGCGAACCCGAACCCGAATTTGCGACTCAACGAAGCGATAATGCCCGCGATAACAATTGGAAAACTCGCTTATCACGCGCTTGGCAAATGAAACTACAAAATATATTTTTATAGCCTCCCTATACGGCGATAAAAACATATCTCTTAGTTTTCTTTGCCAGGAGCGTGGTAAACGGGTAGGGGGGATAAAAAAAAGAGCTATCAAACCTGGGCTCGTCCGGGAATTGAACCCGGGACCTCTCGCACCCGAAGCGAGAATCATACCTCTAGACCAACGAGCCAAGCAGCCCTCGCAAATGTGAGCGGCGAAATAGGCAATACAAAGAGAGTGTCATTAATCTGGCATTGCAGAAACAACAAGTGCGAAGAATTCTACGCCACACTCTCTTCGCGCTTGAGTCTTCACTTCTTGTGGGGCTTCTGCAGACCGCTCGAGGGTGACGATCAGCGACGCCTACGACAAGAGTGCCGCAAGAGGCAGCTCAAAAAACCAAAGAAAGGCTGCAGATCCTAAGAAGTCCCTTTTGTGCTTTTACGCAAGCGCTTGCGGCAAAAGATACTAATTTATGGCCGTAGATCGATTGGGCATAAATTTAAAAACCGGCAGCCACAACCACAAATCAATTTGTACTTGTATTCCTATTTGTACCATTTAACCTGAAGCTTTTTTAAGAACTTGATAAGCTCTGGCTGCCGATTGGGGTCACAGGGTAGCGCCCCTTCTGCGGCCAATTCGAATTCCAGCTCAGAATCGTAATCAATTAGCCGCCTGGGCGAGGCCTGTAGCTAGACAAATTGTTCAGGGGTTTGGCACAAGGCCCATTCCTAAGGTTTGTGATATTTTCGCACCCGTAAGGCGCTTCTTGCGCTTAGGTGGGGCAAAATCATTGAAGGTCTGAGAATAAATCAAGAACTTTGATTCAGACTTAGCGAATTCCTAACTAGTTACTAGTTCCTAACTAGTTAAGAAAAAAAATAATAGTTAAAAAAAAGTAAATCAATATTAGCTACTGTTAATATATTACTCTTATAAATGGGAACACAAACAACAGCTGTTATGCACATGAAAATGGAGTCTTCCGAGTGCATAATAGTAATGTACAAAACAATTAATAACAAATTAAATGCATTAAGCTAATGATATCTTTTATGCACGTCAGCCATTAAATTACTTATAATACTGATAATTTGAAATATTACGAGCGGGCCACAAATGGAAGTGCATCTTCACGCACTGGATGTCCATGGCCCCTCGATTCCTGGCCAGAAAATCCAGTTGCCGCAATTTGCGCAATCAATCAATTAGGGGGGAAGATCGAAGATCGCAGATCCAAGATCGCTTCCTCTGCTCCTCGAATGGCGCCAAAACGGAAGCTGATCGACCAGCAACAACATCCGATCGGTGTTGGGGACAGATATACTCGTACGTATCCATAGGTGGTGCGGTTATATTATGGTGGTTTTACCAACTGCTTGAAGCGGTCTCCACCCAATGCCAACTTCCGTTTTGATTGGGCTCACAATTGGCGAGCGCTGACAGACCATGAGCGGGCAATCTTGGCCAGAACTCCGCAACTTGTGCAACTTCCGTGCTCCAGTTGTGCAAATTATGGCATCGCTCAGGTGTAATTACAAATGTCAGTGCATCGCCAATTGCCAATTGGCAATTGGCAATGGGCAATGCGTAATTGGCTAATTGAATTGCATGCCAATGATCGCTGATCAACGTGGATCGTCGGTTCACTGATCTGCTATCTGATGACCAAGCCCACATCCACATCCACATCCACATCCGATCATCCATCTTTGCTATCTGCCAAACATCCCCCAACATCAATCATCCGATATTTCCCTCCCGAACAACCGGGAAAATTCTGTGCTGCTCTTTTGTTTGCCCGGGTGGTCTGCTCCAATGCCCTCTGATCCCAACTTAGCTCCATTCTGTGGGTGGCTAATGGCCTAAACAAAACCCAGAGACCACACATTCGAAATGCGCTTTTCTTGCTTTTCCATTTCCCAAGAATACAAAACAAACACAAGCACACACACACACAAAAAAGATGCGGGATGCAGAGATTGGGAACCTCCTAAAACCGAGTTGCCTCAGAGCATGGCCCAAAGCGCGATTTCGCGACTAGGCTCCGATGAAATCAAGTGGAATCTAGATCGCAAGTCCCGCAGGCTGGTGAATTATGTTTCGGCTTAGCTGGAGGCTACAATGGGCCAAGTTAGTGTTGCACAAAATTAGTGCAGTCCAAAGCTGTGTTTAAGATAATTATTTCCCATAACTCGATGCTAAAGGCATTGAAATTGGTTTAGGTGGAAGCGTTGTGAATATTTTATATCTAATTTATACCTTTTTCCATCTTGGAGCTAATATTTATTCGCCCATCGAAATATACCAATAATTATTACAGAATAGTGAAAAGAAAGCAAAACACCAAATTTAAAATTGAATTCGAAGTGAAATATAACAAAACATGACAGGAAATGGGCATTACTCTGAAGCCGGCAATAACAATTACAAACAGAAAATACCATTACGCCGAAAAAACTATTACCGAAAAATGGGGAGAAGAATTTCTAATCTAGCCACCGATGTCGACGCTTTCACCTTTGTTTTATAAAGTCCGGTTTTTTCGGTGTTGGCCAAGATTTAACGTCTGACCACGGAAATGTAAATGGGAATGTAAATGCCGTGTAAATACAAAGCGGCGAGCGGGCTAATTGAAAATGCAACAATGGCTCGGCGGAAGTGCAGCGATCGAGTTTGAATTGGATTCGATTTTGGTTACCTTGTGATTGATTGTGTCTCAATTAGAGCCAAATTGCCCCAGCTGTGACAACTCAGCACAAAATGGAAAACAAACTAATGAGATTCATCTGATTTCTGTCTGGACCATCAGCCGATTAGCTAATGACATTCCGAAATGCAATCGGTAAAAGAAAGAAAGAGGCAGGCTGTACTTAAGCAAAACTGAACATAACATTGCATTTTAAAGTGAAATGAAAATTTTTTTATTCTTAGTCAGAAATGCAGGAGGAAACTTTTATTGGTTTCTTGATTTTTAATCTTGATTTTGATCATAGGAAGTGGCAGCAATGAAAATGCATGAGAGCACCACAATGTAATCCGTAATGGGATTGGAATCAGCATTAATTTTCCTGTTCTGGGCAACTTCATTAGAGCACTAATTGAGACATGAGTTGGATTGAGACATGAGGAAAGCCCGGAAAACACTTTCCATTTGGGCTACCGTTTTCATGTCTCCATGAGCAGCAGCGCACAGTTCCAAAGAAAATCAATAGCGAAACAGAAGACTTCGGACACGAACTCGAACGAGATGGTAACAGTTTAAAGGTTCATTGAACATGGACAACTCATGGGCAACTTTCGAATGGACAACAACATGATGTTGCCCCGTGTTGCTGCCACAATTACCGACAACAAGACCGAAGAGGTCTTGGTGTTCATTTGGAATACGAAATGCGGGTGCTATACCACCTCAACATTCGCTTTCTGGCCCTGAAATAACAATGCCGACCATGATGCTGGCCAAAAATAACATATCGTGCTCATGACTTTACATTTGCTGGCAACGATTACCAAATTTAAATAAAGTTTGTCATTTTTTGTTTTTTTGGGGGACGCTTTGATGAGTTGTGAACAACAATTAACGAGCGCAGTTCGGTTTACGAAAACATACACAGTAAATGTATGCGGAAGATGGATTGAAGTACTTTTCGGTGAAGATAATTAATCGGTGAAGTCAATTGGATACTGTATATGTATAAACATAATTACAAGTCACCCTTTTAATTATATCTCGGTGAATACTTCCAGACTTTTTAGCGGAATGCAAATCGTATCCACCGAAAACCAAATACAAAATGCCTATTAAGGAACTAAATCGTATTTTGCGGTCAAAACGTAAAGCCACAAAATGTACATCAGTACTCCAGTCTGTTGAATTTACAACGCATATTCTACTTTTTAATAAAAAAAAAAAGCATTAAGACCCCTATCAAAACAGTTTAATTCGTGTAACCTGCCATCCCTTTGTAACCCTCATTCCGGTTGTCCAGTTTGCTTCTTCTTTAAACTGAGTCAGATATGAGTCTGGTCCGTGTTTCTAGATCGTTTTATAGGGGGAATAGACCCCTTTCGACTTGGCCTTACTTTAAAGCCACACAGGAGTTGAGACGAAGACGTTGTTCTTTTCGGACGGCCGAAAGCGATATTTTTTCACAGGCAGCGTCTTCGAGCGGAACCGTCTTGGATCAACTTTTCCTGTTCGCCTTTTTTTGGCAGCTGCTCCAGCGACAGGTGTACCTAAATCCCACATATCTTCATACAGCGGGGTTCAAAATATTAGCAATGGGTCCAGATACGCGAGACGCGTGCTTACTTAAAAAAAGGACAAATTAATCCCGGAAATGTATGTATTTTTACAATTTTAAAAAAATCTATAACAGTATACGAATGTAATGATAAACCATAAAACAGTTCCTAGCTTATAACA